TTCTTTGTTGCTTTGTATGTCCCTCCCCCACGGTATAACCCATGCTTTCACTGTATTTGATGTTGGTATAATTTGTGGAGGGGAAGGGAAAAAACAAATCGTTTAACTAGGGATACAGGTGGACCCATTGCAACAATGAGATGTACAAGACGTTATGTCAAAAAATGAACTTTACAACTTTGGTGGGGGGTGAGGGGAGGATTGGGTGGGAAGAGGAGGGAATATGGGAAGGGATAGGAAGGGGAAACAAAGAGGAAGCAACAATGCTTGATAAGAAATGTACTTGTTGGGCTGGGAAGGTGGCTCAGTGGTAGAGCGCTTGCCTTGCATGCCTGAGGCCCTAGGTTCGATTCCTCAGCACCACATAAGCAGACAAAAAGCTGGAAGTGGCACTGTGGCTCAAGCTGAAGAGCTGAGGGACAGCGCCCAGGCCCAGAGTTCAGGCCCACAACCGGACCCACCCCCCCCAAAAAAAACCCCAAGAAATGTACTAGTTATCTTGCCCATGTAATTGTAACTCCTCTGTATGGTATTCTCACAATAAAAAAGTAAATAAATAAAAAAAATTATATACAATGTTGAAAATGAACTATCCAACTTGTAGGTGGGAATGGGATGGGAATGGGAGGGAATAACTGGGAGATAGTGAGGGAACTGATGATATTGTCAAAAAAGAAATATATTCTTCATTGTCCAAAAAGAAATGTGCTCTACCTGATTTAAGTAACTGTAACCCCTCTGTACATCACCTTTATAATAATAATTTTAAAAATTTTAAGTAAAAAATAAAAAAGTACCCTTTACCTGATTTATATAACTGTAACCTGTCTATACATCACCTCTACTATAATGAAAACAATTTTAAATGAAGGAAATAATTTGATAATGTAATAGGTACTTATTTTATGTTAGCAATATTTATTTTCTACTTACTGTATCAATTGATATTTATACTATTTCATGGTATTTTTAAAAAATATTTAAAAATATTTAAAAAAATATTATCATAAATAAAATTCATAATAACTAAATGTTAAAAATTATACATATATATATATATATATCTTTGTGTGTATATGTGTGCACATGTGCCAGAACTGGAGCTTGAATGCAGGGCCTCACATTCTTTGTTTTTTGTTTTTGTTTTTTGGTCAGTTATGGGGCTTGAACTCTAGGCTTGGGTGCTCTTTCTGAGCTCTTCGGCTCAAAGCTAGTACTCTACCACTTGAGCCACAGCACCACTTCTGGTTTTTTGGTGGTTAATTAGAGATAAGAGTCTCACGGACTTTTCCTGCTGGGGCTGGCTTTGAACTGCCATCCTCAGATCTCAGCCTCCTGAGTAGCTAGGATCACAGGTGTGAGCCACCAGCACCTGGTCTCACATTCTTGCTTAGCTTTTTGGATCAAGGCTGGTAATCTGCCGCTTGAGCTACACCTCTACTTCCAGCTTTTTGGTGGCTAATTGACAATAAGTCTCAGATATGTCTGCCTGGGAAGGCTCCAAATTGTGATCTTCAGCTCTCACACTCCTGACTAGCTAGGGTTACTGGCTTAAGCCATCAGCACCCAGGTATATACAAAATACCTTTTTTTGTTGTTGTTGGTCATGGGGTTTGAGCTCTGGGCCTGGGCACTGTCCCCCAGCTCGTCAGCTCAAGGCTAGCGCTCTACCACTTGAGCCACAGCGCCACTTCCAGCTTTTT